TTGTTTAATTCTCAGCAATTAGTAATATTTGCCTCCATAAGTTTCGGGTATAATCATAATAAAACTTTCATTAACCAATGCATTTCAGCTCGTTGCCATGGCTGTCTTCGTGGCAGCTGCTCTTGCCCGCCCCGACCAAGATCCAGGCTACGATTATTCAGCCCCTTCATCTCCTGCAAAATACAACGTCAACTACGCCGTCAGAGATGATTATTCTAACAACGACTTCGGTCACCAGGAGGCTCGTGACGGCTATGACACGCAAGGATCTTACTACGTCCTGCTTCCCGACGGTCGTCTGCAGAAGGTCACTTACTACGTCAACGGCGATTCTGGCTTCGTGGCTGAAGTCAGCTACGAGGGAGAGGCCCAGTACCCTGCTGAACAGCCCTCCTACAAGCCAACACCTTCGTATGCCTAACCTATCATTCCTACAGGCCTACCCCTTATGAAGCGAAAGACTAATAATATTTATTGCGTGTATAGACTATTTATGAAATCATAATGCATTGCTCTGAAACAGGCGTTTTCCTGTCCTTTTCATTATCAGCTAAATCCACGTTTGGACATGTCACAATTCCACTGTTTCAAACTCCAATTCATCATCAAAAATAATTAATGAGAGATTTAATGTTTCTGATAAGTAAATCCTTTCTAATACCTAAACTTAGAAGTCTCATTCACATTATTTTATAAGATTAAAATAAGAATTATACAATATATTGTTAGCCAGCATTACACACACACTTGCATATATGTATATATATGTGTGTTTGTATGTGTATGTTTATGTGTGTTTTGAGTGCGTTTGTAAACAAACACACACACGACATACATTATATATGTATATACATTACATATATATTACGCACACACACGCACACACACACACACACACACACACACACACACACACACACACACACAACGCACGCACACACACACATATATACACACATATATACATATATTTATATACATATATGTGTTTGGGGGGTGAGTGAGGACAGAAGATGGGTATGGTTTTATTGACAAGACAGACAAGAGGTATTTAATTAAAGAGAAGTGAAACAAGTAAACTCTAGCGTCCATTTACATTGCCATAGATAGAACTTTATATTGTGCCAAAGGAATAAAGGAAATATCAAAGTCATATCCTTATAAAAACATTGAAACTGATACATAACCTAGAATTTCAGAAGCATATCATTCCTTATTAAGAAACGGGTGTATAAATAGATGAAAGTATGTATGTGTATATCACGTTACCATTAGATATTGACTTCATAATATTGAGATAAATCTTTTGTATTTTGTATACACAGTATACACGTGTTATGAGAATTGTAATTACCCTACGCTTTAGAGTTAAGAATGTGTGAATATGACTTGTCTTGGATAAAAGTGCTATCAAATTCATTGCTTTGAATTGCAATTTATATCAAATTGACAAATACTGACAAACCATCGCTGTTCGCTCACCTACGAAAATTTTTTTTATGTATGTATATAGGTATATACAAATATATATACATGTGAAGATAAATGTGCTCATATATGTATATGCTTACATTATCCTGTGTAAATGTGTGTGTGCCTATATATATCGTTACACACACACATATATACATATATATAAACACATACATATACACACACACACACACACACACACACACACACACACACACACAACACACACACACACACACACACACACACACACATATATATATATATATATATATATATATATATATATATATAAGTCTATGTGTGTATACATAGATACTTATACACACACACACACACACACACACACACACACACACACACACACACACACACACACACACACATATATTATATATATATATATATATATATATATATATATATATATATATATATATATATATATATATATATATATATATATATATATATATATATATATATATATATATATATATATATATATATATATATATATATATATATATATATATATATATATATATATATATATATATATATATATATATATATATATATATATAACATATAAATATATACATATATATATATATATATATATATATATATATATATATATATATATATATATATATATATATATATATATATATATATAAACACACATCTTTCTCTATATATGCATATAAATATACATATCTCTCTTTATATAAATCTCTCACACACACACATGTATATGTGGTCATACATCTATACTTATATATACATACCTGCATGAATATATGTATATGTGTGCACACTATACATATATATGTGTATACACACATATACATATATATGTATGTATGCACACACGCACACACATATATGTATGTATGTATGTATGTATATACACACATAAACGCACGCGCAAACACACATAAAATAAATGTATGTTTTATATTTAAGTATGCATATAGGCGTTTACTGTATATTATAAAACATACTGATTGAAATACACCCA